CCATGTTCTAGTCTAGCACCTTAACCACCATGCCACCTGCTGGCCCCAGTGGCGAAGTAATTGTAAGCTCTCATGTACTCTAGATTGCCCTTTTTTTTTTTCTTTTTTTAAGATAACTGCTTCTGAACTCTTACAACTCTTAACTTACTTTCAAGCAACTACTTGGGTATGCCTTTGAGTTCCTTTTTGTAGAATAGCCACATTTTGAAAAATAAAATATTTTTAAAGAATTATTTATTTTAACTTTATTTATTTATTTTAGTTTGATCGGAGAGGGAAAGTGAGAATGCAAACTGCCAGGTCCGGGACTAGAATCTTGATCGGCCAGGTGGGAGTCCAGTGCCCTTAATCACCACACCACTTGCTGGGTCCTAGAGTAGCCACATTTTGGCTTCACATCTTCATTTAGCTACCTGAACCTTACAATAAGATGTTTTTCTAAATTGTCCTACTATAGTCATTACCTGTCATGGCTTCCGTTCTGAAGTGGGAGTGCTTGAGTGAATTCACAACTGTGAAGTTGTAACCAAGAAGAACTAGAATGAGTACAGAATACTAAGAGCCGTAGAAGTTCTGTCCTTGCGTTGCTTCTTCCACTACAGATAGATTGAGACTTGTTAGCTTGTGGGACTCCTAAACAGTCCATACTCAATTCGTCATTGCCCTGATCGGAATGAGCTATTAATGTGTCTCCGTGCACTGCACCTTATTAGTGAAGTATAAGGAGTTCTCCCCTACCAGTAGTGTCTAATGTTAATTGATCACCATAACTTGAAAAAGCAAGTATATTTATATGTGAATGATAACATGGAACTCTAGGCATAGGGGCCAACCCCAAACCCAGTGGTTAAGGGAGCTGGATACCATACAGTCAACTGCAATTTGAGTCCTGGCCTCACGGCCTGAAAAAAACACTGGGAACCAGCAGTTAGCGTAATGGCTATGTCGCTGGACTCCCACGTAGTCGACCGCGGTTCGTGTCCCGGACCCGGTGGCTTAAAACTCACGCCGGGTGCATGTGCGTGCGTGCCCAAGATCCCAAGAGGAGAATGGAGGAGAAGGGATTGCGGCGTGACCATCCCCCCGGGGGGTGATTTCTCGCTTTCTGTCGCTATGTCTCTCTCTGTCTGTCTGGCGAGCGCACGCGCCCTACAGTGAAAATCTCAAAAAAAAAAAAAAAAAAATCACACCAGATGCGAGTGTGTCCGTGCCCAAATCTTGATGGGATGGAGTTGCAGAGAAGGGATTGGGGTGCGACCATGCACTACTGGGGCATGCTTTCTCCCTCTCCCTGTCTCTTTCTCTCTCTCTGGTGAATTATACATACCCTTTGGCTATTAATTATAAAAGAGAGAGAGAGGGACCAGCAGTTAGCATAATGGCTATGTCGCTGGACTCCCACGTAGTTGACTGCTGTTCGCATCGCGGACCCGGTGGCTTAAAAATCACGCGGCGTGCGTGCCCAAGGTCCCAAAAGGAGAATGGAGGAGAAGGGATTGCGGTGTGGCCATCCCCTCTGGGGGGTGATTTCTTGCTTTCTGTCTCTCTCTATCTGTCTGGCGAGCGCATGAAGCACATGTGCTCTCCAGAAAGAAAGAGAGAGAGAGAGAGAGAGAGAGAGAGAGAGAACATAAACCTAGGTGTAAGTGTATACCTAGGGTAGTTAATAGGAATAAAGTGCCAGTTTTAAATAGAGGACAGTTAAGGAATCTATCTCAGATTCCTTGTTAGTGTTTACTTCCTTTTCTTCTTTTTTTTTCCTTTTTTAAATATGGAGATCTTCACAAATTTGCATTTCATCTTTCTGCATTGGCCATGCTAATCTTTGTATTGTTCCAATTTTAGTGTATGTTTTGCCTAAGCAAGCACGCTTTTCTTCTTTTTTTGGGGGGGGGGAGAGATTTTTCCAATAGGGTGCATGCGCTCGCCAGAAAGACAGAGAGAGACAGAGAAACAGAAAGAAAGAAATCACCCCCAAGGGGGGATGGCCACACCACAATCCCACAATCCCTTCTCCTGCATTCTCTTCTCAGGATCTTGGGCATGCACACACATGCACCTGGTGTGAGTTTAAGCCACTGGGTCCAGGACTCGAACCACAGTCAACCACATGGAAGTCCAGCGACATAGCCATTATGCTAACTGCTGGTCCCAACCCTTTTCTTCTTTTCAAAGCTTATTTATTTTCTCAGTGATAGAAACAGGGAGAGACACAGGCATCCCCATCAGGTCCTCAAACTACAGTTGATCCCTAACCTCAGCCAGCCAGGGTCACAGGCCCAGGTGTGCCCAAAGGCAGAGGGAGACCTAGGACGGTGAACTCAGGACCTTTCCATGTGGCAACAGCATCTCACAGTTGTTGCGTTACCCTGCACCACCGTGGCTGACCTGCTTCCTTTTCTCATTGGGAAAGTCATGATGCGTTTTTGCATAGAAAAACGCATCATGACTTTCTTGACCTAATATAACCAGGAAGTGTGGCTTTTTCTTTTTTTATTATTGATATTAATTATATTTCAGTATAAGTTTTTGAAATGTTTATAGTTTTATAACTGATTTTTTTTTCAACCTTTTCTACTTGGGTCCTCTAAGGAAGGATCTATGTGTCTTTCGTTAACTTTTCTGGGTTAAATGTAATCAACTGTTTTTCCTGTTATGGATCAATTATGATGTTTGTAAATACAACAAAGAAAATTGTGTACCCACTTTTTTCCTATCCTCCTTTTTAAAAAAATTTATTGATTCATTTCCATTCATCATCATTTTTTTAAATTTGGCCAGAGAGAGAGAGAGAGAGAGAGAGAAAGGGAGAGAGCGAGCTGCCAGGTCTGGGACTTGAACTGCGATCAGCCATGTGTGAGTCCAGTGCCCCCAACCACCACACCACCTGCCAGCTATGCCTTTTTTTTTTTTTTTTTAATAGTAGTTCTGATAGGATGCAGGCACGTGCCAGTGAGAGAGAGAGAGAGAGAGAGAGAGAGAGAGAGAGAAAGCTATTGTCCCACGGAGGATGGCCATGTGGGATCCAGCCATGCCACTTTCTGGTCCTCCTGCCCTCCTTTAAATTTTTTTTTTTTTAAATTTGCTATATGGCACTTGTGCTTGCAGAGGAAGGAAAAGTGAGAAATCAACCCCAGGGAGAATGACCCTACTGCAGTTCCCTTCTCCATTCTTCTCTTGGGATTTTGGGCACACTAGTGCTTGGCCTATTTTTCAAGCCAAAGGATCTGTTCTGTTGGCCATGTGAGACCCAGTCATCCCAACTACCATGCCACTGACTGGCCCTTCCTGTCCTCTTTTTGGTCACCAAAATTATATAAATTAGATATATACCCCTTCTTTTTTGTTGTTGTATGTAATTATTAAAAATTTGCCTTTATTTATATTTTAATTTGACCAGAGAGGGACAGAATGAGAAAGAGAGAGAGAGAATGAGAAAGCAAGCTGTCAAGTCCGGGACTTGGACCTTGGTTGGCTGTGTGGAAGTCCAGCGCCCTTAACTACCACGCCACTTGCCAGTCCCTTATATCCCTTCTTTTTTCTACTTCTTTTTTATGCCCTACACAGGGACTTAATAAGTAGGACAGGAATGGAGAACAGGAATAACTATAGATACCTTAGAGCCATGGTCTTCAACATTTTGGTTTTTTAAAATAATTATTTAATTTATTTATAATTATTATTACCTAATTTGACCAGAGAGGGACAGAGAGAAAAAGAACTTGAGAAAGCAAGCCGTGAGGTCCAAGACTTGAAGCATAGTCAGCCAGGCAGGAGTCCAGTGCCTTAACCACCTGCCGGCCGGCCTCCAACATTTTGATTCTTAGGATCTTTTTATAATCTTAAAAATTGGTGAGGAGCCCAATAGCTTTTCTTTACAAACATTTACTTTATTAGCAATTAAAACAGAGCAGTTTGATGGGGCCAGCAAGTGGCATGGTGGTTAAAGGCGCTGGACTCCCACATGGCTGACCACAGTTCAAGTCTCGGACGTGGTGGCTTGCTTTCTCACTTCCTCTCTCTCTCTCTGTGTCTCTCTGATCAAACTGGAAAATAAATCCAAGCAGTTTGAAATATTTATTAACTCACTTTTAAAAAAACAATGCTAAAGTTGGGTGTGGTGGTGCGTATGTGTAGTCTCCCCTATTTGGAGGGCCAAGCAGGAGGATAGCAACATAGCAAAACGCTGTATAAGACAGCAACAACAAACCCAGCAGTAAACCTATACATGGTAACATAACTAACATACTTGAAATGAAAATAACTGTATTTTCCAAAACAAAGCAAAGTTAGACAAATTGCATTATTTTCACTTTTGTGAATTGCTCATGTCTGACTTAACAGAAGATAGCATGAGTCTCATATCTGCTTTTGTCTTGAATCTATTGAGATAAGCTGAAAATCTGACTTCACACAGACATGTTGTTGGAAGAGTTAGTGTTTCAATAGCCTTTTTCAGATAATTCCTTCTTTGATACAATGCCAAAACTTGATAAGTGGTGGTTACTTGGAGGGTGATCGTAGTGTGGTATTTGAAACCATACCAATGTCCTTTTCATACCCTATTACATTAAAATCTAGCAGTCTGTTCATACTGTGAATGTGCTTTTTTTTTGCCCATGCATGATTTCGTGACATGTGGTACCCAATTGTTGCCTATTGGTTCACTGAATTAGACATATTTTTTAAATGTACACACCATTTGTTATATATTTAAAATTCATATTTGTTAGTACCCCCACTCATCCTAAAGACAATCTTTAAATACTGGGAAGCTGACAGTCTCAGGGTGGCAGATACAAGTCATCCAAAATTCAGATTTTTGCTTGAGAGCAACCAATATTGTTAATTATCCTTTTAGTGAAAGGCTCTGTTCATTTGTGAAGAAAAGTCTGCCAAATAATAATAATTTACCAAGGACATTTTAAATTTAAACAGACCATTAAAAATGTGTTTTATTTGTTATTATTATTATTTTAAGTTTGCTATAGGGCACATGTGCTCACAAGAGGAGGGAGACATGGTGAGAGAGAGAGAGAAAGTGAGAAAGCAAGCTACCAGGCCTGGGACTTGAACTGCAGTTGGCCATGTGGGAATCCAGTGGCTTAACCACCACATCACTTGCTAGCCCAATTGAAACTGGCTTAAAAAATAGCTATGGCCACCAACATATGGCATAATGGTTATGTTGCAGGACTTTTACATAGTCAACTGTGGTTTGAGTCCAGGACCCAGTAGCTTAAAACTCATGCTGAGGGACCAGCAGATGACATAATGGTTATGTCCCTAGACTCCCATGTAGTCAACTGTTGTTCGAGTCCTGTACCAGGTAGCTTAAAACTCAAGCCAGGTGCATGTGCATGCATGTCCAAAATCCCGAGAGAGGAGAATGGAGAAGAGATTGAGTCGTAACCATCGGGTGGAGGGTGACTTCTTGCTTTCTCTCTCTCTCTCCAGTGAGCGCACTTGGCCTGTATCAAAAATCTCTCTCTAAAAACAAAACAAAACAAAACAAAAAAACCACTCATGCTGGGTGTGTGTGTGTGCCCAAAGTCCTGAGAGGAGAATGGAGGAGAAGGAATTGCAGTGTGGCCATCACCCCTGTGGGGTAATTTCTTGCTTTTTGTCTCCCTGTCTCTCTCTTTCCAGCAAGCACAGGTACCCTATAGCAAAAATCTCTACTAAATAAATAAGCAAATAACTCTGATTATGTAGTAGTGAAGAATCTGACTGGGGATCTAATTTCATGCTTCTGCCTTGATTTGTACTAAGGCACCAACAGTTTGGTCTGCCACTGCTTTTGCACCGTCAGCACAAAAGTCAACACAGTAAAAAAGGTAAATAATACTTTCGTGTTATAATGGAAATAGATCTGACCTCTTGGATCTCCTGAAGGTTCCTAGGGACCCCCAAGGGTTTACAGGCCCAATTTTGAGAACTACTGGTTGTATCTGTCAGCTGCTCGAGGGCAAGACTTCTCCTTGCTTATTCACTGATGTATCCCTTCTACCCTGGCCTGCTATTATGCTGGGATGTTGTACCTCTCTTTAGTGTTAGATTGTTATATTCTGAATCTGGGTCATCTTTGCTGGTTTACTCGCTCTCCGTTTAGTGGCTCACGCTATCTAGTAGCATCCTGAAAAAGAGTGATTGTGAGTTGTCATTTTGAGACCTTGCATGCCTGGAAATATGTTTCTTCTGATCTTATACTAGACCGCTGATTTGGCTGGATATAGATTTTAGATTGGAAATTTTGAAGCCAAATTGCCATTGTTTACTGTATTGCTGTTGAAAAGCCCCTATGTCTTTAAAAACATTTTTTTTAAAGAATTATTTTATTTCACTTTATTCATTGTCATTATTTTATTTATTTACTTATTTTATTGAAGTTGACCAGAGACAGGAAGAGAGAAAGAAAGAGAGAAAGCAAGCTGCCAGGTCCAGGACTCCTACCACGATCAGTCATGTGGGAGTCCAGCTGCCTTAACCACTGTGCCACCTGCTGGACCCCTAAAATTTTTTTAAAGAATTTTTTAAAATTTAATTCCATTTGTTATTATTAAATTTGACTGCCACCTGCTGGTCCCACCCCTATGCCTTTTATTGTGTTTCCGCTATTTTTTCTCTTTAAAAGTTTTTAGTATTGGGGTTGGGAGGTGATGTGGATAAAGGCACTGGACTCCCATATGGACAACTGCTGTTCAAGTCCTGGACCTGGTGGCTTGCTTTCTCACTTTCCCCCTCTCTCTCTCATTCTCTCGCTCTGTCCCTCTCTGGTCAGATTAATTAGATATATACATACATACATAAATTTAAATAAAATAATCCTTAAAAAAAGGTTTTAGTACCTTTTCTATATTCTTGATG